AGAAAAGTTGTAGAGATGGTATCTGTGGAGATGATGCGGGAAACATCCCCATCTACAAAAGAAATAAAAATGAAAGAAATTCTTTGCAAGATTCTTTAGGGTTTGCAGAAAAGATTTATATAATCAAATGTCAACTCCCATGCACACGAGAAGACAAACTACAAAATATTTTCTTGGTACGTAGGGTAAGGGAATTACTCATTTTCTTCGCACACGAGAACCAATTTTCTTCTTTCCCACGTAGTCTTTCTATCGGAACGCTTATTATAATCCTTCGAATATTTGTCCTCTTTGCTCTTTGGAATCTTTTAGGGTTTCTTTTAGCTCTTTACTTCCATTTCCCACACAAACAGATCGCAGTAATCGAGTCAGTTTTGATTGTCTTTTAGACAAACCTAATCTTTTAAATAATACCCGGCCCCTTTGGGGCCTTTATTCCAAAGACTTTGAACAGTAGTAGAAAAATGAAACTAAAACAAAGAAAATTAAGGGAGTGACCCGCTGTGACCCCCACCTATTATGTGATGACAAACAGTCCATATTCCCTTTCCTAACCCTTGGAAAGTAAATTCTTGGATGGTAGGAAAATATGATAGAGAGAAGAGACAACATAAGGGAATAACTTATGAAGACTAGTCTCCCTTACTTTAATTTCTCTTGCAACCTTTTTTTAACCCTTCCCATCTTCATTGTCTCCCATGACTTTGAACATGGCTGATTCTCCAATAACACTATATAATTAGTAGTCAGAAAGGCTTTTTATTTTACTATGATTTCAACAAAATGAGAATGATGTGGGCTAGCATGACAACACAAAATCAAAAGCATGGTCTGGACTTGGCCGGCGCCGGCGCCGGCGCCGGTGGGTTTTGTAGCTAGGTGTTAGACAATTTTGTATGCCCTTAGCTTCAATCCGATTTGATGTACTTTTGTTATTTAGTGGAAATAAATAAAGTACATGTTTGATTCATGTTGCTTGGTTTAATTCTGTGTAAAACCCTAAAACTGGACA